TCCCTGTGTTGTCAGAACTGCCACTGTTGTGCAAGGGGAACTGCGGGGTCAGACTTTAAACTTCAGAGCATCTCCTGGAGGGCAGGGGATGGGGTGTGCTGTCTGTTTCTGAAGGGCTTACAGAAGTCACCCAAAAGACACGGTTACCTCAAATCAGAATAAGCTGAGGAGAGAACGTAAATAAAAATGGGACTGGCAGATGTAAAAAGTAGCACAGAACAATTGCCTTAGGGCATGTGTGCCCAACCTGTTAGCTAAGGCTCACCTATATGCAAAGTGCAGTGGAGGGGGAAGACCTACGTGGGATTTACAGAGCTGAATTATAAGTACTCCTTATGGTAATGGAGAATTTGAGCAGCCTTCACACTGGACCCTTGTGTTAAATGGAAAATGGGGCAGATAAATCTATTTCTAGATTCTTAATAAATTTTAAGAGGAAAAGTTCTTCATTAGGCAATTTTTGTATCCTGGATTAACCTGGATCTTACCTCTGGAGGTAAGAAATTGCCCATAAAACAGCATAGAAACAGTGGGAGAAAAATAGTTCTTGGGAGAAAGGATAATCAACTGAAGTAGAAACCAAGTACATAGTGATACATAAAGGATTACAAAGAAATTTTCTTATTATGTACAAATCCAGATTATCAGCCTTCCTTCTATTTCTAAAACACAGCTTCAGGTCTTCTTTGATTTTCCTTCTGGAGTACAGTTTTATGAAGACAAAGTCCAGCTGCAGTAGTTGTTCGGGTTTTTTTGTTGTTGTTTTGTTTTTAATTTAGCACTTACCAGAGCCAAAAGTGTTTCTTCTAGGGTTTTTTGGGTTTAATGCTTACTTCCTCCAGACCATAGGGATACTATTCCTTTATGTTTCCATCCTCATAGCAGTCACGGATGCTGTCACTTTTCTAGAAGGCTGCCAGCTCTTTTGAAGTTCCTCACATCCTTTCTTATAGAAGTACATTACCAAAAATGCTGAAGCAACTAGAATGCTGTTGACACATAGTCCACACTTGTAATTTGTAGGTTCCAAAATCAAATTTAATCCCATTGTGTTTCTTGGTTCTTACTGCTGCATGTCTTGTGTGGAAATAGGGCGTGAATCGGACACCTGATCTCTTTCAGCGTTTCATATCAGGTGGGCTGCTGTGGCTGAGTGAAGAACAAATGAAGAAGGACGGGGCCCAAAGAAGTAAGAAAAACTTAATTCACTGAATCAGCTAAAAAGACAAACTTTTATTATTGTTGGAAGGGGGAAAAGGAAGATACCTAGATAATTATAGCGTTTTTTTTAATCTTCCCCTGTAAAATTACTATTGGTGTGAATTCTTTAGACATCAGTTGTATCAAGTGTTTGCAGGCTTCATTTATTATCTACTAACCAAAATTAGTATTGTAGAACCAAAGCAATACCAAGCTTTTTTTCCTACATTTCTGTTGAGAACACTGTATTTATTCAAGATTTTAGAAGCAAGTCTCTGGAAACCCCTCATCGCTTCAGAAAAGGATTCCCCTTTACACTATACAGCAGGCACTGAAACCATGATACAAAATTTATTTCATGCTAGAATTGTTTTGCATAACATCGTGCATGCATTTTACTCAGTACTAAATTGCATACAATGCTGTTGTCTTGTTTCTTAAACTTTGAGACCATTTATACTTGAGTATTTTCCTGATTTTGTACTATAAGTCCCAGTTTTAAAATAACACCTCTTTTGTTTAAAATTCATACTGATTACTTAATATGAACAATTTATGAAGGGTCTTTACGTTGGATCTATACATCAATAAAATACAACATAACCAGAGCTGGAAAATGAAATCTAGACCAGCTGTTACTGTCAGGTCCGAAGGAAGGTCCATGTGTCACAAGCATGCCAACAAAAACAGACAGGATAAAGTTTTTCTTATTTTTATACACTTCTAGCTGGATTAAAAGTTCTTGACTTCCATGTTGGTGTGATGAACTGTGAAGGCGTGGTCAATATGACCGATGACTGCCTGATTGCACTTTTTAAAACCATTACTCTGTATCTTGTATACAAAAAGAAGCGATCCATAGCAAAGAAATGTACAGTTTTATCATGTTTTACATTTTGGCTACAACAACGTATGTAAAAGTAAAGAGCTTTGAAAGAAAATATATAACTTTGCCTCTTTTTTCCTCCTCAATCATACATTTGCAGTGTTTCTTGGTTTTTGTTTGTTGTTGTTTTTTAATTTTTGTCTTCATGCAATTCATGCTATGGAACAAAAAAAATAGATTAAAAAAGAAGAAAAAAAAAGATCTTCTACAGTTTTGTTACGTTTTGGCCGTAGAAAAAGCCTGCATCTCTAGTACAACTCCAGAACCACGAAGAATCATCCATAAAACCTGCATGGAGCGAGTTAACTTTGTCCAAATGAGAAGGTCTTCTATGCCTGCACAGTTCCACACAGATGTTTATTTAGCCATCAATGTTCATCTCCATCTTGCCTTGTCAGGTCACTCTGACTGCCTCTGTTGGCATATATTTAGCAATGACTGGACTTTCTTTGCAAAGATCTGCATGTAAAGAATACAATCAGTACTTGAGCTTCTTCCCTGTGCTTTTCACATCAAGCTCGGCATCTTAGTTTTAAAGGAAGGAGGAAAAGGTGAAATAGCTACATGCAGAGGCAGCCATATTCTTCTTCAACAGGATTTTTGTTTCCATGCAGTCAGCCAGACTGTGAGACCTCTCTACAGTGTGTCTGGGTATTGCTTTCAGCTTAAAATAGGCGCCCATGCAAAGTTTCGTCCTACTGTGCTTGTTTCCTCAAACTCCTGCAGGGTTCCTATGGCTCAAAAATATCCTGAGAAAAGCAAAATCTTCCATCGTTGGCATGTTTCAGCATCGACTAAATGCCTAACCCATTCCATACAGAGCCAGTAGATCCACCATTAGCCAAAATAAGCATATACTAGCATGATGCACCAAGAAGGAAGCTCTCTGGTGCATCTACCCTTCATCCTATGTACTGATACCATGCATGTATGGCCCACCAGTACTACATCAATGCCTGCCTATTGTCAACTGAGTGCTATTTAAGAGTGTTGTCACCTAGCATCAGTAGTAACACCATTCCCAGCAGGTGCTACTGTGAGACATTGCATCTTCAGACTTAGTCACCTGGATTATATGCAACATAGCATAGGCTAATTGAAAATAAAGCTTTTTAGACCATTCTCTGCTACTGATCCATGCTACAAAATAGATGGGATGGGAGACCAAGAACGTCTCACTGGACTAGGAGAGCTGTAGGGCGCAGACACTGAGGATAATCCTATCGCTTTTCCACTTATGCCAGCTATGCTGTTAAGGCTCCGTGACATTTCGTAACCTTCATTTAAAAGAAAAATGCAAAGTACAGCATTGGATCAATGACAGAATGGACTAAGAATGAGGTCAACATTGTAGCCAGTTTGATAGCATCTGCATGCACAGACATGCCCAGAGTAGTATCGCTTGCAACATGACTCAGAAGGCCATTGAAGTACAGAACAAGTTAAAAAAATTATATATATATATTACAAAAAGAATAATAATTTCTCAAGGATGGTCAGGCTATATATTTGATCCTACAGGCAGCAACATGGTTGTACCCTAAAAAAAAGGCAGTGGGAGGGATTTTCTATGTTTCCATCCCTTCCACTTCATGCATTTTGATCTTCAGGCAAAATTAAGGTTTCTGGTATCTTCAGGGGTCGGAGGGGGGAAAAGGCAGCAATTTACTGTGTTGCTTGAAAGATACTACTCCTTTGTTTTCAGCATTAAAAAAAAAAGAAAGAAAAAACCAAAATTGCATGCATTCCATTTCCCTCCCTCCCCCCACCCCCTTCTTTTTCAGACATGCACATAAACAGCTCAGCAAGTGTACAGAGAGTTGCAGAAACTATGGATGAAGTTCTGTTGGAACAACAATTAAGATGCTCTCAATGTGTTTCAAACAGGCCAACAATATGCTGACGTATATTACTCTTTAGCCAACCAGCCTCTGTTTCATTCAGTAACGAGAGGCGGTTGCAGTGCATCGTGAAAACCATACATTCCTCATCCCAAAGGATGTGCCATTTGGAGTGTTCTCCTGATCCACTGGAACCACCCAAACTCACCCAGGCTGAATGAATGTGGCCAATGCTTATCCAATACAGAATCAGGTAAAATGCTTTGCTACAAAGGTAAATTTTAGAGGATATACTTTCATATGAAAGTCTTGTGCTCCAACTATATCTTTGTTGATGATAAGCTTTAAACTTATAAATACATACACTATAACTGGCATTTACTATAACTATTGCCCATCATACAATGGCACATGGAAATGTTATACTCCATACTCAGTGTATGGTTACATCATACAATCTTTGCAGTTTTAAAATATTGACTATATCATATACTATATACAGTACACCAGTGATAAACACTGATTTGAAGAGAGAGATTTATTTTCCAGTTTCCCATTCCTTATCAACTTTGATGCATATATATATATGTAACTCTAATTTTGATTTGTATGGTTTCCTCGTGTCAAATTATTTAAACAAAACAGCCTATTTTAAGAAGGGAAGGCTTTTTCTTTTTCTTTGATTTGACTTCTGTTGCTAAATAAATTATTCTGACCATTAGCAAACTGAAATGTGGTTACTTCTGAGAGATCTGTAGCTGTCAGAAGTCTGAGGAACTAACTAGTGATGATTATTTATGAAAGGAAAGTGATTTTAGATGGATTAATTTCCAATTGTTAGACACCTGTGCTAACAGATGTTCTTGTATGCTTCTCTTTCTCTGTTGAACTAAACAGCTATTAACATCCAGATAATTTGTTTTAGTGGTCTGTTAAGGTAGCTAAATAAGAATTTCATCTTTATTGAGGATGTTTTACTTTTGTGTTTTATCTTTTCTATCTGCCACCTCCAAGTCCGTGCTCCTTAGAATCTGGTAAGATCTGTGAGCTTTTCCACGTGGCAAACCTTCCTTGCTATGAAATGTTAATTGGCCTCTCCTTGGAGGTTGGGCTGATTTAAGGACATTGTAGAGCATGCTCCACTAAAGCTTACTGCACCAGCTGGGGTGGAAGACTCAACTGCCTAGCATAGCTGCATGGGGTAGTTACAGCTCCTCAGGCTTTTCTTTCTGAAAGAAATAGGTTAGAAACTCCAAATGCAGACATCAGGTGGTGGTTTCCAGCCCAAACGTGCATCTCTACAGCAAGCGCACTACCGCGTGCTACAGCTACAGCTGACTTTCTCTTACGTATTTAAAACAGTTGCTAACTACATGGTTGCAGGACCCCAGCTACATACCCTTTCTTATTCCTCCATCAGGCGGGCAGGGATATTCCCCGGTTGATAAGAGGAAGCAGGGTCCATATCTCTCCCGAGTGCCAGAGCGGGTAAAGGGCAGGCCCTCATCAGGCGTAATAGCCTGGTCTATGTGGGGACAGTCTTCGTTTGCCAGCGCCGCCTTGGCCACCTCACCATTCAGTTTCGAATCTTCAAACATATAAGCAGAAGGCTATTGAAACACTATGCACTGTTTATTAGAGTTCCAGCTGCAAATTAAGGGTTCACAGCTAAAGAGTTCTATAGCAACACTACAAAAGGTAGCACATCTGTCCTAGACACTGCGTTCATGTGCACTGCACCAAAACAAAATAGTCTGTTAGGTGGGAGGAGAAACAAAACATGATCGCGTTAGGTGTAACAGCAGCCACCTGTACTTCCACAGGGAGGGCCAGTTTCAGAAATGGGTGTGCAGTGGTTCCTAGTCCTGTGAGCAGAAGACTGGGGTTAGAAATCAAGATTATGTTCTTGCATGACATCAGATGATGCATGAATGACCTGCTTGTCATGAAGCCTCTGTCACTCAGAGCTTGGCAGAGGCAGTGGACTGTGAGTTGGTTTAGTATTTGAGTATATTCTGTTTGCGCTGATTGATACCTGTGTGCAATATTACTGAGGGGAAAATTTCTGCTCTTTCCCTCCCCCACATTTACCCAGATTGTTTTATAGCATTTCCAGTATCAGTCGTGCAGAATGGCTGTACACGGTTTAGACACACAGAGTATGTTATGTATGGAGATATGACAGCAGAACGTGGATTTTAAAAATAGCAATCCATTTTCTGATGTTCTCTTCAAACACATACAGTATTTGCAATGCCAACATGGGACACTACGTATAAAAAACACTACAGCAGGCCAAGAATTTGGAAAATAGAGGAAAATTTACTCTCGGCTGTAAATTATGAAAATAGGTTTTCAGATTTGCCCATTTTGCTCCACACATTCCCATGAGGATAGACTGAGAATAGTATGTTTTCTCTGTGTGACTTCTTTTACATTTATAAAACAATTTAAAGTGCTATTTAGTGTAGGATTTCTTTTAGAGTTTTAAAGTGCAAATTAGTGTATTGAGAATATACTCGAAATATGGCACAGCTCGATATGAGTATTTTGGTTGAAAGGAGGAAAAAACAGTCAAAATGTGCTTTCTGAAGTTTCACAAATGCTGAGATACGTTAACTGAGTGGTATTGGCAGCATCCTACACCTCGGTTGCACAATGCTTATTACCTAGACACTGTAAGGCAATGGGTGGTCCTGTAAGTCTTTAAGGAAAGACAAACTCGACAGATAAACAATTTCAGTGCCGCTTGCAGATGCACTCACTAGCTGGTTCTGAACGCTACATGATGCTGTAGTTTGTTTTTCAATGGTTTTGAAGCCCAGTAATAAAATAAGCTCAAAAGAAAAAAACACATTAGGTAGGGTTTGGAGATATGATTCTGATCCTCTGGTTTCAGATGGACAACATAGATGAGTAGTAGGCAAAAGGCTGTTAAAGTTATGTTTGTTGCTTCGCACACACACACACAGATGTATATGACACGTACTGTATATCTATCCATTCACCAGTAATTGCACTCAATGCCTTTTATTTAGATGTTACTGGTTTGTTACAGCATAGTCTTTTCTGCAGGTCTCATCTCTGCCTCCTTTCTTCTCCATGCAGAATTAGCCAATTATTTCCTCAAAGAGGGAGGTAGTAACATTTTGGTTCATGAGCAGTGAAATAATTAGGTCTCTTAGTACATTTTAAAAACTGGCAAAAGCTATAGGTGCATTTTAATACTTGCAGACACTAATTTCAATAGGATTCTAAAGTTTTAAAGTTGCACTGAGTTGTAATTCTTTTCTGTTCATAATACCCACTGCTATTTAATATGATACAAAAACCTGGCATGGCTGCCATGGTAACCATGACATTGCAGGAACTGAGCTGCTGATTTCAAAATCACTTAACTGTGTTTGGGGAGAGCTGCTGTCCTCATGGGCATGAGCAAAGAACTGGGCTTCTTCATCAGCCTCTGCTAATGGGATAGCTCTAATCCTGAAATGAGGGAGGCAGCTGTGGCAGCAGAATACTGCATTGAAATCTCTGGGACCCCCACTGCTACACCTGAGCCTGGGTTTGCAAACTAAACTGTTAGTAATGGAGGGAGGACTGGTCCATTTCTGGACCAGTTTCTCAAAACACCTCTGAGCAGCGTGGTTGTGTCCGGTGGCTTGCTGGTAGCAGCCACTGGTCCTTTTGGAAGCAGCTTGCAGGCTCTATTGTGCTTGAATTACAAGAAAATTGACCTTCTTCTGAATTAATTTTGAAATTGCATTACACATCCCTATGAACTTGAGCTGGAATTGCTCTTAAAGCTTCCTTAGGGTCCCTTAGCATTGATGAAGTTTTCTTTATACTTGTTGAAAATCCACAACATTGTTATTTTATTTCTAGTCAATAGGAAGAGAAAATGGTAGCTGGAGATGTGGACAAATCACTGAACTGTCCTTGAATAGTCCATGCATTGGCCATGCCTTAGAGATCACATTCTAGGTAGCAATGCTAACCATCAGTAACAATTTTACTAAATATTTAGGAAACACAAGTTAATATTTCTATTTACTATTTCTATATTTACTGTTTCAATAGACTATTGCTGGTCAGTGTAAGTGTTAAGTAGAGAGTTGTGTTCCAAACCACTATCTGCAGCACCTAATTCTCTGAAGGTAGGGCTCTGCAATCACATAATATTTAATATGTGATTAGTCTGTTATGGGAACACATAAAATATCACTGATGTGATCAGCCCACAGTTAGAAATTCCCATTTTTTTTCATTAGCAGATCTATGTGCTGAACAACTTTAGGAATGAGGTCTAATGGTGAAATGAAATTATGTTATTTTAGGTTGATTTTTCAAGTTTCAATCTGCCTGTTTGCTTTTTCCAAGACTGACCTTGGGTTTGAGAGAACTCCAGATAAAGCAAAACTACTGAAACCATTACTGTTTGATAACTACTTCTAGGTGCTTAAAACTTCTAAGGCTTGATTCTGGCCTTTCCATCCGTGCTAGCAGAATCTGAATTAGGCTTGTGCAACGTTTTTTCTTCCTTAGATTCTGTTTCAAGAGAAAAAGTCAGTATTATTATCTCTCTTTTACAGATGGGTAAAAATACTGTGCAGTGCAGTGGCTTCCCCACTGCTATGTTAGAGGTTATTTACAAAATCTTCTGACTCTCAACTTGGTACCTTATCTCCTTAATTGTCCTATCTGTGAATACCTAGCTAACTGCACCAGCTTTAAACATTATCCTGAAGAGATTTGTTTGAGAGGCTAAAGAAAGTATTCAGCAAATCTCCTAGGTGAGTAGTTTGTTTCACAGCTACCTCATTTGCGTGGTTTCCTCTTTATGGCTTTTTCCTGTCCCATCTACCTCCATTTGCAGAAACATACTATGAAATGCCTTGGGTATTTCCAAGCAAATACTGAATTTCAAAAGGGGGGG